GTCTTCTTACCGACGCCCCCACAAGGCCCTTAAACAGGGGCGCGCCATCCGGCGCGGGGAGCCTTACCTGTTCCCTGAACCCCGGAGAAGAAGAAGAAGAGAGCGAGAGGACTCGCGCGGGACGGGAGGGCTGCTCCCGCCCCATGCCCAAAGCAAAGCAAAGCAAAGAGAGCGAGACCGTTATGGCAGATATCACACTGTGCCCTGAGCCCACTCACGTAGATATCATACCAAACGTGCCCCCAAAGCCCCAAAACACATGGGGGGCCACAAGGCCAGGGGACTTTACCCGTCCCCTACGCCCAATGAAAGAAAGAGAGCGAGAGAGGAAGGGCGAGAGAGAGAGAGAGAGAGAAGTACCGGGCGAGGGGGGCTTGCCCTTCTTGCCCCTAACCCAGGAGAAAAAGAGAGTACCATGCGTGTAGCTTTTCTGCTTCCCATACAATAATATGGTGGGCGTCTGGAGCGCAGGGGTGTCGCTCCCCAGCCCTGCGAACGAAAGCAAGAGAGATGTACCAACTTCGGGGCGCAGAAACGTGCAGGGGGTGCAAGGGGTGCTCGTGCCTTCTTGACTTTGCTGAAGAAGAGAGATGTACCACCTCTGTCAGTGCAGCTGGCGCCGCAACGGGCACTGCTGCTCCTACTGCTGCTGATGCCAGTGCTGGTGCAAGTGCTACCACTGCTGCTGGTGCCACTGCAGCGGCTACGATGATGATGATGATGATGATGATGGTGATGATGATGCTCATCACCGTTCACAGTTTGGTGAGTAGTGTTCTCATGCTTCTAGTGTCCGTTGCGGTTCTTCCATTGTAGTTGTTTCTGCCTGGCGAGTTATCTTTGCAGCAAAGTGATACGTGATTATCGACAGCAGGCTGTGGTCCTCTTTCATGTTCGATTCTATGTCGCGACCATGATTTGTCCAGGTTTTGGAGGAGCTCGTTTCTGCAAGCTCCTTCGTGAAACCGCAGAATCAGCAGCATGACACCACCACCAGTCCTTATCATGCTACAACATCACCAAGGTTTTCATGCAGATCACAAAACGGCAAGTGTTTGGAACTTCTGACCAATTTGCAGCAGTTTTCCATAGAGTAGTTTGGACGTCTGTGTTCCAGGTTCAGACGGTTCGCAAAGGCTTGTGCACCTGCCCGTGCACCTCGCGCTTTCTCTGATTCTGTTTCTCTTCCTGCTCCCAGGTTTGCTTTGACATAAACGGGCAGCTGTTGGATATGTGCCTGGAGAAGGAGGTGCCCAGAAGTTCAAGCCAAGACGGAGCAAGGGAGGCGTGCAAGTCATGTTGTCAGACGGGAGGCTGTGACGCCGGGGGAGGTGGCCGAGATCTGGGAGAGGCACGGGATGGCGCTGCTGGTGATTGGTCTGTAGTGGCAGTCGCTGGTAGAAGAGGAGGAAGGACTAGGGTTGTGGCTGTTGTAGTGGTGACAAGGAGTATGAGTGGGCCGTGACTGCCATCACCGTGATCATAGTAAGCTGTTGGCTTTGGCGCCCTCTGCAGCTTTCTGGTTCTGTCGTTGGGGTCTGTGGCTGGCAGCTTCTCAGTTTTATCGTACTACTTTCCTGATCAGACCGCCAATCGACTTGACCGTTGTCATGTCGAGTTTTTGTTGTTGTTCCGGCTACTCGTAGCAAAAGGCTCAGACTGTCAAGCGCCAAGCTCAGAGGAACCGAACTTGTGACTGAAGCTCGAAGGGGCGTAGGGCTTTGATCTGGGAAGTCGCGTTGGGGGCTTCGAGGGCTTCGGGGGCTTGGCTGGAGTTTATGTTCAAAGCTTACTCAGGCAGGCGCCTTTCCCAAAGCCTGGGCCCTGGCCATCCCAAGCCCTCAAACCTACTTAGCTCAAAGATGTCAAAGGTCCCCATCTGAAACCCAAGTCCACGAGGTGCCGATACTCCTTAGCTTGAGCCGAAACCCCGTCACCAAAAGCGCAGAGAACTTCCAAATCTCACATACCCCATTCGCAAACCTTCATCAAGCCCCACCCTGAACCCTGAATGCTTGTCAACTTCGCCCTCAACCCAAAACCCGGCGTCCTGGGCAATGGCTCCTCGTCCGCTGCACGGACTGCTTCCGGTGGTGGCTGTGCTCTGGACCGGAGGAGCCTCAGAACAAGTGATTGAGGGCTGAAGGCTAGGGGGTTATCCCAAGTAGGAATCGGGTCGAAAGATGTTGCTATCAGCCCACCTGCAACCCAACCATTATAATAATGACGACGGGGACAGCGAGCATGTTGATGATGATGATGATGATGACGAGGATGATGAGGGTCATGACGATGATAATAGTTATGATATTGATGATATGGATAATGATGATGATGAACATGATGTTGATGATGATGATGATGATGATGATGATGATGATGATGATGAGGTGATGCTGGTGATGATGAGGGTGACAATGATGTCGTGATGATGCTCTGGCGATGCTGATGGTCATGGTCAGCACGGGATCGTCGCGATGATCATCACACCAACAAGACGCAGAAAAAAGGCATCGGGGAGGAGGTCAGACGCCTGGCCATAACCACTTCCTTGCAGCATAGGCAAAGAGGCCCTCCACCCACCCCCCTGCATAAGAACAAGCGAGGTTGGCATCAAGAAAGGAGCAGTAGCATTAAGACGAGCCAGGTTCAGCAGAACAAGGACACATCCAGCCGGGTCAGGCATCAACAGAGAACCCTCAGCAACCACACCCGTCGAGGCCTTCTCTTCTGTCAACCGAGGGCATCGCTGCCCACGGTAGCACGGAGGCCGATGTCCCAGCATGTCCGCGGTTTGTTAGGTGCTGCTGATCCACCGATCTGTAACCTCCGAGATCCCAAGCCACAGATACTCCAGGTCGTCCTCCTCTCCACCCCTCAAGCCCTCAAGCCCTCCCTCCTCCAAAGAAGGAAGCCTTGGTCGCGCCTCCGACCGAGAGGGCGCTGCGCTGGCGCAGAGTTCTCCGAGGACGAGGCCGAAGATGAGGTGCCGGGTGGCGCGGGCCTCGGGTTTGCGGGGTATTTTGGGGGGCGGGTCGGACCTTTGGGGCGATCTGCTTAGAAGGAGAGTTCGCGGTGAGTCGATGAGGGGGAGGTTTGTTGGCTTCTAGGATCTCGGTCAAGTTCGGCGGGAAGTTTGGACCATCCTCGCCACTCGCAAACCGAGTAACCGGTATGCCGGGGCGCTCATGTGCCCTAGATTCTGAAACTCAGTCCACTGCATACTGTCATGGCACGTGTTGTGGCTCGAATAGAATCCTGCAACGCTGACTTTTGAAGTTGGGTGTGGCCTCGGGCCTAGGGCCTTGGGCTCGGTCCGGTAATTGCATGCTTGGTTTCCGTGATGACGTGGCTCTGAGGATTCTGATTCTTGTTCAGCTTCAGAGGCTTCTGAAGATTTGGCGAGTTTGGGACTGTGCCCTCCCGAGGGGTCATTGGAATGTTTGTAGATTGCCACGGCTTTGTGCCAGAAGCCTTGGTCCAAAACCTCAAGGTTTCTTAGCGGGACACGCAACAAGCCTGAAGCTTCGACGAACCACCGAGCGCCATCTGATGCACTGGGCCCGAAGCTGTGAAGGACACGGCCTCAAGGTCCGCTCAGCCGAAAGCCCAGGCATTTCTTGGCTGCCCCCACTGAACATTTCAGCGCCGGATGAAACGACGGAGGGCCGCGTTCTGCCCCTCTTTCCTCTAGGAGGCCTGGACTTGGCATGCACTAAGTCTCTCTCGCTCGCTCTCTCTCTCTCTCTCTCTCTCTCTCTCTCTCGCTCTTGCCGGTCGTTCTTTTGGTTTCTTAGCACAGTGTCAGTATAGGAATGTAGCTGAGTAGAGGTATTTCCATGTATATGGTTGTATGACTATATGGTTGTATCGTTTTTTCCCACGTGCATATAGTGTGAGCTTCTGACATGTACATGTGCTACTTTACTCTGTGCCATTCTGCGATACTTTTGCTTTGAGCGGACTCGATTCTACTATAGTCATTATGGTCGTATATCTTCCGCTACCTGGCTGCTGCCTTACATGTGCACCAGACTGTATCCTGCAGTGTAGTACGTTGCGTTGTGTTATGATAGAGTTTCATTGCATTGTACTGAGCTATATTAGATATATTAGAACATTTTTTAATGTCACGTGTTGTCTTGTCAGTGTATGCCTCATACACACCATATTGTTGGGATGCATTCGGATCGTATTGAATGAGAATGGTGGTCTTTTTGCCGCTTTCTTCTTGGCCCGATTTCGTACATTGATTCATGCACAATTAATCTTTCAGTGTAGAGATACATGGATACATGGATGATGCAGCTATTCATGGGTGTGCTTGGGAACTAGGCACATTTTCAGGACCTCAGCGGCTGCAAGTTCTGAGCATCCAAATTAAAACTTCCGAGGTTTGCAGCAGGCATAGCGCCTCAACTCCTGAATTTCGTTGGCTAACCTCAAATCGCTAAAAAGCCTACAGCGACTGGTGAGTCGATCCTCCAGGTGCCTACTTCCCCTTTGCGCAGCCGGAGCTGAGCATCTTTGAGCCGAGGCAGCTATGCCTTAGCCCTCCCTCCGCCTCGTCTCGGAGAACCGCAGTTTATAGATACGAAAAGCTACATCTGGAGCCATAGCTTTGTGTGTGTGTGTGTGTACTTGTAGTAAATAGTGCAGACACGCGCGCACGCGCGCATTTATCTGCACACCAGACCCTCTAAAGCAACATACCAGGACCAGGATATGTCGCAGTACAGCTGCATAATATGATATGTCATCGCATGTGATAGTATGGACGTGACAAGATATGGGGGCAACCAGCAGCACACCACAAGAGGGTTGTGCAAGAGAGCACTCACTAGATCACACCATAAGGATATGTAGGGGCTTGTAATCCTGCAAGACGTGGAGCAAGATTTGGCACGGGGCAGTGGCAGTGGGTCTGGGTTTCGCTGTCGACATGGAGCTCTGGGTTTCTTTTCAAGGTATCGGCAGCTCTACAACGACATCTTGGTCTCTGGTGGCCGGAGCTTTGTGGCTGCTGGGCTTTATTCCGCAGCTTGGGATAAGGGGTCCTGGTCCAACCTATTTCGACAGCCACCACTTCAATGTCAAAATCGGATGAGGAGGTGTTTTTTTCGAATAAACCATAATAATCCCCTAGACCCCTAGCTCTCCAGAATTCTCGAAACGGCACCTGGGATCTGGCAGGTTGTAGCCCCGTCGCCGGAGGACGAGAACGTTTTCGCGGAGGCATCCGCTGTAAGAATAAGAAGTGACTTGTTTCGACGAGGGGCCCTTGCAGGTCGGCGTGGTCTTCTACCTGGATGATCTCACAGACGTGTCTGAGGAGTCCGAGGATGCCGTGAAGTACGCCTGCGCCTGAGGTCTAGTTTTTTGCCGTCGGCCTGGCTGCTACACGCATTCTGCAGGCTACAGTACCCCCGCAAATCTAGAAGTCTAGGGGCGGAAGCTTGGAAAGTTGGGTGGGGACTCTGGGGACTCAGATCTGCAACCACCGCATCCTGGGCCGCGTTCGCATCCTCCGGGTCCTGAACCCGGGTGCCTGGGAGGACGGGTTCCGGTGTCCTCTGCTCTTCTCCGGTGCTTCGTTGGGGCTCCACAGCGGCTTCTCGGACTTCGAGGTTTCGGTTTTCACGTAAGTCGTCTTGACTCGGGGCTTCTGGGTTTGCATGGCGAGTCCGTCGTTTCTTTAATTCTGGATGATCCCGTACGATACGCGTGATCTCCCCACTCGCTTGTCGCCGGCCGCGATTTCAGCCTTTTGCTATCCAACTTTCTGGTATCTGACAGCCCGAATGCCAAACTTTGAACTCCTGGCCGGGAAGCCTGCGACTCACAGGACCAGTCAACCTACCTCTTGGCGGAGGTTGAAGACTTCAAGGACGTACCTGGGCTGGAGCCGGTTGCGGGCGTTTGAGGCTCTTAACTACTTCCTGAACCCTGTTGCTGGAGCTCTGCATCAGTGTTAAAAGACCAAAATGCATGTAAGCCCTCGAGCCAGGGTGGAGCATCTGTCCACAAGTCTCGTCGCTCGGAGGGTTCGTACATTCATGAAGCCTCCCAGCGCGAAGCCCCGCATTGCATCCTCCAGAAATCCTTTGAGTTTTGCGCGTGTGTGCGGGAGCCCGCTACACCCGCGACGCTAAACCCGAAACCCGAAGCCATGAAACTGTCAATTTGAAAGGTAGAGCTTGCGTCTGACACCAATACGGCGGCCAAACAGGTGCCTCTTGCATGTGAGATGGTGGTGCTTCGTGTTCAGAGCTTGTGGTCTCTTTCCAGACTTGAGGGTGTAACCTTTGTGCCGCGGCCTTCCGAACACCCCTCACGCCGATGTATTGCCCTGAACTGGATGTGTCCATGCGGCTCATGTCTGCAATTTAAGGTTGCTTGGCGAAAGGGTTTCGCTAGGCTTCACACACCCTGTGAGCGAAGTATGGCTCTACATTATCTGTGCCCACGACTGGCTACATAAGGGCTCAGGTGAATTCACCTGCAGGTATTTACTTCGTTCGAGAGGGCACAGGAAGGTTAACGATTGTTACGGTCGCCAATGCTAAATCTTGGAATCAGAAGCCCGATGCCTCAAACTGCAAGCTTTAATTCCCGCCTCTCGGAAAGCTACATATAATGACTCATGCCAGTTGTGGCTTTTGTTGTTACTTCTGTTGTTATTGCTGGCCATATCAGTTCTCTTACTCTTGCTGTTATCGCCAGTGCCGTTCTACTGTAATACTGAGCACGAGCGTCGTTGTCATAGTCAGCATTATTGTTATGGATCTTCGGGTATCAGGACTCTTATGATCGAGACTTCTTCTTGACTTCAGTTGACTTCACGTTCGTGGGGCTTTCGGATAGTCTTGTTGCCTTGGTTACAAGACACTGAACCCAAACGCCCTCAAGTCTGAATTTTGAGGCGGAGGTGATGTCGGCTTTGAGTCGCGTGGCGCAGCGGCAGGAGGAGCCCACAACACGTGTTAATGAGGAAGATGCTCACCTCTCCCACTCTGAGCTCAGATTTGCTTTGGCCGTTTGCCGTTTAAAGGCTCCAAACTTACGCCCGAAGCCCGGAATACTGAAAGCTGCGCTTCTAGCCCTCCGGACGGAGCCTTGGCGAGGAGGGTGGCGGCCCGCACTTTGAAAGCCATATCTCTGTCCCGCAACGGCATCAAAGCTATACTTTGATAGTTGCGGCTGTGAGTTCAAGGGGTCCACATTCGGGTTGTATGCAGAGTTCAGGGTTCGCGCATTTCTGCGTGACAGACTGAGTTGGATGATAGCTCATAAATAGTCTTTTGTGAAATCCTCGACCGAATCTTCTTAGGACTACGCCAACGCCTCGTGCGCGCAAGAGGGCGGCCTCTGGACTTTGGCCGACGTCTTCGCCGAGTTCGGCGCTCAGCTGACTTTGGCCTTCAAGTGGGTTGGGGTTTCTGACAGAGGAGTCGTTTGAGGAGCTTCCGAGCAAAGGCTTGCAGAAGTCAGCATGGGCTGTGGGCTGTCCAGGTACTACGAATATTTGCTGTCCGAGAAGGAGCAGACTTTGGACTTCGAGATGGAGCAGGTAGGTCTAGGCCCTAAAGCTTCGGGATAACACTCAAAGCTGTCCCCAGGTGGGTGGCTCCCCAGCAGTGACTTCAGCAGATCAACCCTCAGCTCCGCAGTCCTAGCCGGCATCCCTGAGACCAGTCACGGCAGGTGTACGAGCGGTACAGCCTGGAGGTGGGCTTAGTGTGCAGTGTAGACTGGGTAGGTTGGAAGCACGCCCGGAACCAAGACAAGAACCTGCGCCGATACGAAGTTGTACAACGAGACAGCCAGGCTCTATTCCACAGCCTTAGAAGGCACTTTTCCAGTGTGTTATCTGTCTGGAGTCTGGGGTGAAGGGCACAAGTTCGTACGCCTGCAGCAAGCGTCGCCGGAGGAGGAAGGCGATGATCGCCAGACCTACAGTGTGGAGCTTGGGCAAGTATCGGGCTGGGGTTACAAGTTGGCAAGCAGAACTCTTCTTGCGTCGTGAACTCTGTCTAAGCCGAAGCCAAAGAGAAGTCGGTGCCAGCGACTTCGCGCTTCCTGAGCTGCATCAGGTTTGGCAAGCGAGGACGACGATGACGACGACGACTTCGAGTATGAGGACAGTCGGACATGCAGCTTCGCTTTCAGGGGCTGCAGGCGATGCAGGTCTCGCAGCTTTCACCCCGAAGCTCTCTCCTTTCCGAATGCCTTTAGCAGAAGCGTACACTGTAACTGTATAATTCCTCCTTAGAAGATCCAATGCAGGCTGTTGTGTTCAAGTTCGCTGTTGCTATAAGAACAGAATCCTACACCGGGCAGGAAGGCGGGGATGCCATTTCATATTGGATTGAGGTAACAGCTAAAAAATGATACTCAGGTCTGTTGGACCACCCCAGCGCCCGGACCCCATCACGAAGTTTTGATATCCGGGAGCTGCGAAAGCCTACTAATCTTGAGATGGCGCCAAGCCACAAAGAATCTCTCCTTTGAGAAAGAGTGGGCTTTGAATCAGAAGCTTACGTCGAGGAGATAGACATCATGGAGCTTCCTGGCCCCGCACGCCGGGAGATCGCAAGGCGGCAGACAGAGTAACCATCTGACATGCGCAGTCCCACAGCAGTCGCAACACTGACCGTAGACCTACACGCTTGGGCTTTTCGGTGGTTTAACGCCTTATCACGAGCCTTGAACTCCACTTCAGGTTGTACTTAAGAATTCTCAGCTTCTGCCCCCGCAGCTGGAGGCTGCAGAACCAGTATGAGGAGGAGGCGCTGAGAGAGTTTGCGTCTTACCCTAGGAGGCTCTGAGGCCCCGTCGGGCTGAGGCATTTTGCGAGTTCTCTCACGGAAACGCCCGGGATGATGGTTGTTGATGTGCAGGGCGGGGAGAAATTACCACATTTCACGCGCCACCTCCACTTGTTACACTAGACGGCTCCCTCCACCCGAGTGTTTCAACCCTCAGTTAGTCACCGGACTGCGAGGCAGCTTTGCTAAATGCAGATCTCATGCACTTTGCCGGGGCCCAAGAACAGTGGTTCTGTCGGTGAAGCGATGCAGTTACAAAAGCCAGTACATTTTGCAATGTATCCAGACAGGACAGGGCTTTGGGCTTTTCGGCCTGCTTTTTCCCGACGTACATATCCACCACAAGTGCAGAAGAGGGAGAGACTTGTCGGGTCTGGTTTTGACTCCTGCTAAGTTGTCCGGTTCCCAGACCTTTCTTGCAGCCCGAATGTTTGGCCGAGGTGCACTCCATGTTGCAGTCTACCTCGCACCGACAGCGGCTGGACACTGGGGCTTGACTTTACAGCTTCTAGACGCCGCTAGGTCTTTGGCGTTTTCTGGGCATCTCGACTCGTGTGTCTGCATTTTGAGGATTTGCCACATCATGCCACATCCAACTGGCCTTGACGCGCCTGTTTCAAGGTTTAGGGTCTTTAGGGTGATGACGGGAAGACAGATGCCAGCCGAGCTTTTTCATGATATCAGCATGCCTTGGAACAGTGATCCAAGACAGCTCCGCTATGTACGTGCATCTACCTGAAACTATCCCCGGCCCTAGGGTGAACCGATTGGGAGTTTGAAGTTTGATGCCGACGTTGTCCGCCATTGCAGGAGATCATGCAAGAGGCGCTTCTCCTGGAGGTTGGGGAATGAAAGCTCTTGACCCGTTCTGAAACCTCGAGATTCTCAACCCCACTTGGAGTATTCCCGGTTGTCACGGAAAGCACAAGTCCAGCTGTGAAAAAGCAAAGACAGATGCAGGGCCAGTAGACTGTTTCAGGATCTCTGAGGGTGTCGAGGTAGGTCCCGGTATACTCAGGCGGGTGTGTGAGCATGCAGGAACGCCACAGGGCTTCGACCCAGAATCTTCCAAGTCTTCTGCCTGTAGCCCTCAGAGCCAGAACAAGAATCGACCTGGCCTGCACTCTGTCATTCCTGAGATCCCCCCCCTGGACGGTCCAGACCCACAGCCATATACCAAGCTGACCAAGCCTACCCTGTTGTGTCTTTCGGGCGACGAGGAGAGGCGGTTGGCAGCAAGGAAGGCCCTGGAGGAGGTCTGGCTTGGGGAGGGCTTTGGTTTTGGATGCCTTTTGCTTCCCAGACGAGGGTTCAGGTTTAAAAAAAAAGGTTTGGGGCCTCGGATTTGTCGGGTTGGGGCTTAGCATTGCGAGTGCCTGCTGGGGGCTTTCGAGACTTTGAGGGGCGTTGCTGTGATTTTTGTATGACACCGTTGAGGCTTCTGGTTGGACGGTTTCCAGAGTTCGGATTTCTTTGATTGGAGTCCAGTGTGGGCCTCAGATCATCGAAGCATGTGCGATCTTTCCATAGTTTCGGGTTCGGAGCAGCTTCATCTTGCAAGCTCAGTGATCCCTCGCACGAAACTGAACCAACCCCAAGCCGAAGATCTCACTCCAACTCGATGCCATGGACCAAAATCCGCTCAATCACTAAGATCCCTGCTGGATGCCAGGTGATGTATTCGGGTGATTAGCCTGGAAGAGCACCGGCCTACCCTCGGACGACTGACACCCGAAGGACTCGGAGGACACGCTGCTATGAGCCGTAGGGGTAGTGCATTGTTGTCATGGTCATCAGCATCATCACCATCACCATTTTCACCGCTGTGCTCCTAATCATCATCATCATCATCATCATCATCATCACCATCATCACCACCATCACCACCATCATCATCACCACCACCATCATCATCATCATCAGCATCATCATCATCATCAGCCTCCTCCATCATCATCATACCATACCATATCATTCTCATATTATTATCATCATCACCGTCACCATCATGACCACCACCACCATCATCACAGTCACCACCACCATCATCATCAGCATAATCATCATGGTATCAGCATCAGCATCAACAACAGCAACAGCAGCATCTTCAGTGTATCAAAGGTTCGGATGCCGGTGGCCCTCAAGTACTTATTCAGCAGTGCATGTGTCCGCAGCAGTGTCTGCCTCCTGTTGTGCACGTCGTGTGTTCCGGGCTTTAGTTGCAGTCCCAAGCCTTTGAAAGCCATGATGGAACCCTGAACCCTGCAGTCCGCGGCAGCTCAATGCAGAGCGGCTTTCAGCAACAGGAGGAGCCTACCAGGGAAATGTCATGATGATTTCCTCTGGCTTTTCTGATGCGCCTCAGCACTTCTGATCTCTTTGCTCTTCGTCCAGGCGAAGGAGGCGAACTGTGAGCGACAAAGATCTCCCTGGAGCAACTGCTGAGTGGCCTCTGTCTGAAATCTGCAGCCCGAAAGCCCGAAAACCTGAGTCCTAAAGCTGATTATGTCACAGATTAAGCCTGAAGCCTGAAAGCCGCAGGTGTGTCTTGTTTTCAGCTGTCGCCGCTCCTTCAGGGTTTCGGGTTGGGCATCGGGTCGTGAGCGCCGACGAGAGAGCGAGAGAGCTTGGAAGCTTTCGCCATTAGCCTGCGAGACACGTCTGCATTAGCTTCCGCATAGGACTTGTGGCGCTCGGGCGGTGAAACGGTCTCTGCCCAACGAGCTGTTCTGAGCTAGCTGCTCTCTACTGCGCGCAGCGAGCATTGCTTTGCTGATATGTTCCAACAGCCGCAGGCAATGGAATCTCCACTATGCTGGCCGAATACGCTTCATAGTCAGGGATGCGGACGGCGAGAGCAGGTGCCGAAGTAGACTTGCATATTTTGGTAGGTTGGAGTTTTTCTGCTTCCTGCTCGATGCAGTTCGAGGTGTCTTCGCCCTCATTTGGATCCTGTGCCCCTCACCCCTGCCGTCGTGGTGTTGGAGGCGCACCACGGGTGTCGCAGCTCAGAGGGGCCAAGACGTTTCGATTGAATCGCCGTGACTTCGATGCTTTTCCAAGCCCCTCTGCCAATGATACATCCCGGATGGAGCTTGATTCTTTCGAAAGTTAAGGCTCGGTACAGGCCGTACTTTCGCTTGGGCTTCGAGACTTGAGGCACTTGCCTGAAGCATCCGGTCTTCGCGGCAGGCGAGCGTTGGAAGCGTCTTGCAACCATTGGCAGGCCGGAAGTAGGAACTCAGACGGGGGGCGCGCCCTATCTTTTGGGGCTCAGTGATCTTCAACTTTCAGGTTTCGGGCCTTTAGGATTGAGAATTGTGCAGGTCAGGGCTGTTGGTCTTTTCTGCATCATCTCGGCGTGCGGAGTTTTGTCTGACTTTACTCCAGCGATGGCGAAACCTCCAGCACCCAGTGCTCAAAACGAACAGCTCCAAACACGGCACGACTTGGCCCTTGAACGGCTTGAGACCTCCAGCAGAATCATCTCCAATCCATTCCGAAGTAATGCAGTGTGTTGTCGGGCGGCCGAAACGCATACCATCTGGGGTTTTCACGCCCGCATGTCAGAGAAGAGGCGATTGTCAGGGCAAGTTCTGACAATCCCTACATAGACATGTGGCATGCAACATGTGATAAGGTGCCCAAAGTATTGCCAAAGTATTCTTGTTTGCTAGTAGACAGCAAGCAGCAGGAATTTTCATCACTGCTGTGACGGGCGGCAGAATGTCAGCCGTAAAGCCTCAGAGGTGTTCTGAGAGAACACGGCCACCTCCCGCCGGCCACCGTCGAAGCCTTGGATGCCTCTTCTAATTCTAGGTCGAGCCCAGTCCGCATGGCAAAGGCGCAACATCCTAGAAGTCAAGAAGTCAGTCTACGAGGGCTTTGAGCTTTCATTACTCGGGTTTCCGTTGGATTGCCAGAGAGATCAAGAGAGCCTCGAGGGCTCCAGATTCCTATCATGGTACATTGTTCAGGGATGGGGAGCCTTTTCCAACAAAGGCCCGCCCCATACAGCAGGTGACGTGCGTGCCGGAAGTCCTGCCGACCCCGAGCAGAGTCAACAGTGTCAAATGCTCCAAACTCGAAGCCCCAAGCCCGATCTTCATTCCAAGCCTGTTCCCAAGAGCTTATATACGTTGAAGCAAGGAAAGAGATGTGAATCTTGCACTTTCAGCCCGGAGTCTGCATCCTGGATTTTGGATGCAGTGGAGGTGGAGAAGCGTCTGCGTGAGGAGGTGGAGGAGCTGTTGAAGGAGGCAAGTGAACCGTGAATGGGCAGTTTATACAGGGGGGTTGGGCAGATCAGATGGGGTGCCGATGATGAGGCTCATCAGCATGCTTTGCATTGGACGCAAGTCGAAGCAAGTACGATCAGGTGCCATTCGTCCCAGTAAAGTGCATAGATGTGCCTCTCTTTGTCGGTCTGCTGGGATTTCAGCTGCGATCCTCAAAAAATCCTGAAGACCCGAACTCCTGCATCCTCAGCTCTTTCGGACCTGAGCCCAGGCGGAGGCCCGAAAGGCGCGGGGGGCGGATGGGTGAACTGGAGTGACCTTGCTGTGCAGCGAAGTGCAGCTCACGGTCGCAAGAACTCTGAAGAGTCGCTGCAGTTTTTCTCGAAGACCCAATAAACGTTGCGCAAGGCTTGTCCAAGTCGGAACAGAGTCTCTCTCGAATGTTGCAGGAGGGCCGCTACTACCGACCCCGCCAGACTGGTGTGACAGCGACTTACAACAGAGGGGGCAGGGAAGAGTAAAGCTTCTGATTGGGGCTTTCCTGGACTTGAGGCCTCTCGTCTTGGGCTTGGTCTCTTTGTCGGCAGGCTACACCTAGCTGAGCAGCTATTAGTCAGGCGCTTCTTGCTGTGAATCTACGAGACCGCTCAACTTTCGAAAGCCCCCGCTGAGTCGGCGGCTTTCCACGTGTTCGGTCCTAGTCGTAGTCCAGAAGTCCATGCCTGTGTCGGTGTTTTTTTTATGAATGTCCCAATCCCAGAGCTCAGCATCCGGCTGCTTACATTCCATGAAGTGCAAGCCGGCCCACACTGAAGGTCAACAGAACGCCCCTGGCGGGAGATTCCCCTGTGCCGACTACTGAGCCTCTGAGTGCATTCGGAGGATTGGTGCCAGGCTCTGCACTAACCCAGAAAGGCTGCAACAATTGTCCTGCCAATAGCGTCAGCTGGCAGCACCGCTCGGCAGCGTAGTCTCGTAAACCAGGATGAGTACACCGAGGGGAGTGATCGCTACCTCCCTCCCTCCCTCCCTCCCTCCCTCCCTCCCTCCCTGCCTCCGTGCCTAGCTAGCTTACCTTGCCCTTCCTACTTACCTACCTCATCGCCGCCGTCATCGTGATCATCTTCATCTATGCCATTCCAAGAGTGACAATAGCCCTGCAAGCCCAACGCCCTCAAGCTGCAAAGTCGCGGCAAGCAGCACTGGATGGGTTGAACTAGCATTGGGATAAAACTAACAGCACAGCTCTGACACGTTCCTGCCTATCTTGGGTTGTGGCTGCGAGTTAGCGCTTTTGCCAGTGTGTCTCCCAGGCTTAAGCGACGCGACCCTGCCAGCATCTCAGCCCAGGGGCATGCTGCAGGTCCACAACGAAAGCATGGAGGGTTTACTGATCTCTCAGGTCAGGCATGAAGTTCAAGCGAAGAGACAGCGCAGGCTCCGGGAGAAAATATCGAGAGCAAAACATTCGGCTGTATTGGTGGCTAGACGGAGGTTGATTTTGTGGCTTACGACCGTGTTTGTCTCCACCTGGTTGCTGGCCCGAAAAAATTCAGCATGTAGTCGACTACGGACACAACGATGCTTGCTTCGAGCTTTAACTGCTCTGAGGTATGCCATGCTGTAGTCGAGAAAGCGCTTCATCTCTTAAAGGGCTCCAGCCCCGGTGCAGCTTGCTTCTGCGAAGGCTGAGATGCAAGCTTAGACACTTAAGGAGATGTTTCTGCTGCCTCGACTCTAGACTCAAGCTTCTCTTTGGGGACTAGTGCAAGGGGGTGCCTAGCAAGTCCTAATTTGATTCTGTGATGCCTCAAGTAGCCCAAGCCTGAGATGCAGAATCCCGAGCGCAAACATGATAACAGCTGACATCCCAAATCTTTCGAAAACACATGGCATAATTCAGCATAATGACATATCCGAAGCCCAAGCCCAAGCCGCAAGCTCCGTGCTGATCCGTCTCGGCTTTCAAGGGTCCGAGCTCCATGGGCTGCGAAGTTGCAGAGCATCAAGTCAGTACCACCAAGTGGCTAAACCTAAAAAGGAGTGGCTTAGGGCTTCGGGCTCAGGGCTTAGGCTTTACGATGCAATCAGGGGAAGGACTGTAGAAAGGGGGAAGTTGGAAGGGCCCTTGTGCCTGCGATCAAGCTCTCGGTCCTTTTTGCTTCGCTGAAGCATCCTCAGCCAGAGCCTGAAGCATCAAGCGTCCAAGCGCCTGAATGCAAGCAAGCCGGAGACCTCAACCAGAAAACCAGATGCTTCTGGTCTGCCATGGTAGCCCGTCTTTGGTTGCCCCGCCTGGGCCGTACCACGCCTTGCAGAGGAGCGAACCGCTAGAGTTTCAGGATCTGTCGACCTGATGGGACCAACGGTGATGATGGAGAGGATGCTGATGATGCGGATGACGGTGAAGAAGAAGATGATGATGAGCAGGCTGATGATGATGAGGAGGATGAGGATGAGGAATGTGATGATCATGATGATGACGATGTTAATAGAGATTGTGGTGATGACGAAGAAGAAGAGGACGAGGATGATAATGATAATGGTTATGGTAATATGATGATGATGATGATGACGATGATGGCGGAAGCAGGAGGGTTACGACGATGCGACAATCACGAGCATGGTTACTATGATGAATGACGACGATGATGAGGGTCCGGCAAGATCGAAGCAGGCCACCTGGACTCGTAGTCGCTCACTTTAACTAACTGAGATGTCACTGGACCCCTTCCGATTGTAACAGCCAGCTGTGTCACACAGTTGTTCCAGCGAACTTGGAGCGTCTTTCGGTTGACTTGAAGCCGGGACGAAAAGCATGCCGTTTCAGGGTGTTAAGTGATGTGGTATCAGGACCGGACAGGGCAGCACGAACTCCAGACATGCTCATGGAGAGGATCCACACATTTGAACATTTTTTCTTATTTTTATTTCCCTCGCACCCTCGCACAATCCTCTTCGAACTCCAAACCCGCAGTTGCAGGACTCGTCGGCGTGCAGGTGAACGTCGTGCTCATTTTAGGGTTTAGAGGTTTTCTGCCGTTAGCGTCGGAGTGCAGCTCCCGGTTGTAGCTTGACAGCTTGGGACTGGTGCTGAGGGCTTCTCAGCTCGAAGGGCACCGGGCAAACTGCAACTCGAAGTGCTGGATTACTCCACGCCTGAGTGGAGGTGAGGCCGCCGGGAGGAGGTCCGTGCCTCAGGGAGACCAGGGCTTTAGGGTTTCGCTTCGGGCCTTCGCCTTATTCATTGAGTTCAAAGTTCAGGCTCGGAGATGCAAGGAGCGTGAGGTTCGGCGGTCAATCTCTCAGGCTTCTAGGTGGGAAGCGGCTAAGGCGGCTAAGGCTTTTGGGGCCCAGCCCAAGCCTTATTTCTAGTTATTTCCAATTGCCAGCCGTATTCCGCGCTCTCTTTGCGACACAAGACACGGGAATTCACCTGTAATCGCCAAGTCGTAGGGACTAAGTCCCAGAGCCGTCTGGGTGCCGACCCCCGTTCGTCCCTTTCGTGTCGTGATGAGGTCGCTTGGCTCTCCTGCGCTGCTCTGTGGGGCTTTTGCCTGCCTGGCACTTGAAAGCTTAGGAAGCTCTGAAGCCAATTGGGCATCTGCAGATTAGTGCTGGTGGCAACAGCAGTAGAAGTAGTAGAACGTAGCAGTAGAAGTAGCTAGCTACTAGTAGTAGTAGTAGTAGTAGTAGTAGTAGTAGTAGTGGTAGTGGTAGTGGTAGTAGTAGTAGTAGTAGTAGTAGTAGCAGTAGTAAATAGTCGTAGTAGTCGTAGTAGTCGTCGTAGCCCCAGTCCTAGTCCTGGTCGTGGTCGTTGGAGGATCAAGCGTATGTTAGTTGTGGTAGGAGCTGGCTTTGTGCCTTTCGTGTTGCCAAGGTCTCCAAGGACAGAGCCGCTTGAGGCGAACGGTCCTCCCGGCCCGTTGGGCCAACGGGTGCAAGCTGGGCGTCTGGGATCTTCGTTACAGAGCAAGAGTTTGCAGGTCCTTTCAGGTTGTTGCTCGAGAGTCGAGTCTGCCACACCCAGTGTTGGCCTGACCGGGCCATTGATTCATGAGAGGCTCGCGAGTCAAGCTCCTGCTTGCCGAAACCCGGCGCAGAGGTTTCCATGTTGTCACAATTTCTCCCCAATCTGCACATGATACAGGGCTGGGCATCGGCGATTTTACGGGCAAAAGGCTGAAAGTGCAACAGATGGTCTGGGTGTCAGCTGAGCCTAGCTACCACTACGAGGAATGGGGTCTTCCACTTCTGCTTCTTCTTCAAGTACAGGCAGACGAGTCCCGAAGCCATTAACTTCTTTCAGCTCAATACAAACGCTCGGCATGATGAGAAGAGACAACATCGCAGCAAGTCTTAAGTATGTACATGAAGCAGATCTCTAGGTCTAGGATGCGATTCCTAGCCAGGGCCTCGCAGCAGTCTCTTGGAAATTGAAGCTGAAGGTGTGGAAGGCGCATTGGCCAGGGCTCGTGGTTTCGGGGCCTCGTGGATTAGTTTGGGGTTTTCGTGGCTCTTCTTGCTGGGTCGCCTTGCTGTGGCTTTGGAGCTGTCGGAGGATCATCCCCTGCCTCTGCAACGAACACTTCTCTCCTTTGAACCATCTTCTCAGCAGGGCTCAGGAAACATCGGATCTGCGGGATGGGCTGCCGTGCTGCCTGATGGAGGATTTCGGTTCAGGGCTGTGGGTTGCGAGGGCGGGGTTTACTTGTGGTGCTTGCACAGCACACTAGAGTTGATTTGACCAGTCGACGGGACCTCAGCTTGGCCGTCCCGGGTGCCATGGCTAGCCGAAGACGGTGCTTCCACAAAGTTCCTAATGGACCTGCCTAAAGCCTGTAACCAACGAGAAAACCCTATTCCTTCAAGCCCCACCACCCTAAACCCTCAAGCTTCCACTGTTCTCTCCAGGCCCGGGTAATGCGCTACGTTCATTGGCACTCACGGAGAGCCTTGGAGGCCTCGAGCCACGGAGAGGATTTGTGCTAGAATGCCGTGTAAAGCGAGTTGATTTCAGGATTTGTTTCTTCTTTCGGTATGGTTGTTGGCCTTTCAGGGAAGAGGCTGGTGACGAGAGACTGAGCCTGTCATCTCAGTGCCGAGCCTTGCCGAGATTAATGGTGCCGTGCACTAGAAACCACCTCGTTTTAGTTTTCGTCCGAAACCCACACCTACGATCAAGAGATCAAGCACTCCCTACAAACACCTACGATTCAACCGCACGCGGTTCAAGCGCCAGCGGTTCAAGAAGGCCAACGGTTTGAGCACCGCCGATTCAAGCACGAAAGCAGATTCACGCACACAAGGCGTTTTAATTAGGGTTCGCAGTAGTGTCGTGGGACTTGAGGATTTAGGGTTTGGGTGTATCGCGAGGCTTCAGGGTTGAGAGTTTTGCGTTAGGGTCGCTCCTTAGGCTTCTCGGGTTTTAGGGTTTGAGATCTCCGCCGAGGTCGTGTGCAATGACAGAAAGTCAGGACAAACGAGTTGCGAAACAAAGATCATGACCGGGCAGGGAAACAGAGGGGCTCGAGTCAGGAAAGAAGACGAGCCGGAGTGGGAAACGGGCCATGCGAAGTGAGAAAAGCATCCGGCCAGAGTCAGGAACTAACGAACGTTTCCTAGGATTTAGGTTGGGAGATTGAGACCGGGTCACTCCTGTAAGGATTTTGGGATTCTGCAGCACTGACCCCTTTACTGTATTGGCGCGCTGTCTCCGGTGTGTGAATCCTTCGTGCCAGCGCTCGAGTCGTCGGCGAACGAATCCGCCGATCCGCCGCCAGTGCACGAATATTCGCCACAGGTTACAACGGATGGAGGGCTGTCATACCCCCCCCCCCCCATCTAAGCCGTGAGGCTTCCAAGCCATCGAATTGAGGCAGAGTTGCGGAGACCCCAAGGCTTCCAAGCATCGTATGATCCCGCAAAGTAAGCTCCACCTGCATTGCGTCTCAGGGTACGGAGGTCCCGGACTTGGATCTCAATGTGCTGCCGCCGGTGCTGCCGAAGCGGACGGGTAACAGCCATCCTGCCAGCGTCACGAAGAAGGCGGCCGGGTGTGGGATTAAGGGACCTGTTCACCGAATCCATGCTGCGGTCGTGGTAGCTTCGGGCAGTGGAGCATCGTTTTGTCGCAATGGCGTTGGCCATGTTGTAGACCAAACTGCAAAGCTTTGGCCTGAAAGATGGCGGTTAGAGTGCAAGTTTGATGCACATGCTGGAAACTGTACGAGGGCTTGGTGCAGGTCGTGGTACTTCTTGCAGGGCTTATGCAATAGTAGATGAGAGCCAGATATTGGTCAGCAGCGAGAAAAGATGCGATGCGACGATGATGTGGGGGGGGGGGGGGGGGGGGATGATTTTAATAGTATGATGGTGATGGCGTGCTGCTGCTGATCATGGTGGCTTGATCGTGGTGACGATGACAGCAGTTTTTCTGGTAAGTGCGGCAACAACCTCATTTTCCTACAAGTCCCGCATTGCCCAGGTGTGGCGGAAAATTGTGTACCACGGCTCAGACCAAGTTGGTGTGAGAGGTTGATCGCTTTGCCAATCAGGCTTTCAGAAAGATGAGAATTACTAAACCCTAAACCCTAAACCCTAAACCCCAAACCCTAAACCCTAAACCCTAATCAGAATTACAGTTACCGGACAATAGCTCCATCTCCTATGGTTGCTCAGCTGCCAAACTCTCGACCGGAACTGTATCAGCTTGCATTCTCAGGGGGCCCCACGACTGAACCACTGAATTCTGAGCTCTTCGACCTTTGTCGATTAGCCGGCTGAGGTGTAGGGTGGTTACGTTTAGAGAGTTGGCAAACTCAACGCAAACAGAGTTATGTCCAAGCACCTATGTTGTAGCTGTTTCCTCTTGCTCTCAGATCTCCGCTCGGGACAGAGAAAGACGACCCTTGTCCAACACTCTCATTCCCTCGAAACTGGTGACTGCAGGTACTGGGCTAAGATCCGGGATAAGATGAGCAATCGGCTCAGTCGCAGGCCCAGATTTCGCTGGGATTAGTTCACGGCTAATTAGCTGGCTGAAGGTCTGGCAGCTTAAGGGTCCGGGAGCTACCCCGAACCAAAACTGCAGCCTCAGCACCAAGCCGAGATGATGAGCGGGACGTCTGTCCGCTTGGGCCCTCCATTGGCAGACGATTGGAAGTAAGGTCACGGAGATAAGAATCGACATTTTTGATTTTTCGTAGTAGCACGTAAGTGCCACGATATGTTATGCGCCAGCATACCACGGGACATTGGCATCTTTGACATCGGGTGTCATGCATGGTTTTGCTGATGGATAGAGGGTACATCCCGTCAGCGTCGCAGGGGTCTTATTTCAGGTTACCTGCACTCGGACGACTGCGAGAAGATGAAGGCAGGCGAAGCTATTTCTCAGGAGACCGAGTTTAGGCTTCTGTGCTCAGTGCATGTGTGTCAGAAGCTGATATCCCAGTGCCGAAGTGGAATGGCTTATCATGCTTGCAGCCTCAATCTTCCATGTTTTGGGTTCTGGAGCTGCTATGATGTGTCCTCAGGCTTCGTGATGTCTCTCTTGTGCCACAGCTCCCACGTGCCAACCCAAACATAATGTGACGAACGGGTGCGACATGACGATGAATGCCTGAACTTGATTACACTCCGAGTAGCTCGAGCCAATCTCTGAACTGATGTCACTGCTGCGATTTAGGGGAGTCACGCTGTTATTGTCGCCAGCAAGGAGAGAAGGACACGTCTTGAACTCCCGTGCCTTGACCTTCTACCCCGAAGCAGAACCGCCTGTCTTCCCACGTCCCGAATCTATGTACCCGAGAACTTCTCCGCAGCTGCGTTTCGCACTGCCTCCAAGACACTCAGCTCTCAGCCGGACTTTGCAAAGCCGGTGCTGCGACTGCAGGTGGTCGTCATGGGCGGTGGCGCGTTTGGCACTGCCATGGCGGCCCACGTGGCCGGGGGCCCCAGGAAAACCTTTTTTTCCGGGGAGCAATGTCCAGACTCCAGGATTCCATGATAGCTGCGGGATTGGTCGAGGTGTCGGCTGTATCATTATTCATTCCTGTTCGAGCTTTCCTCAGGTAGCAAGTCAAGCTCCGTGCTCCCGTCTTCCTTAATCATAGGGACCCTTAGGGGGGTTTGTGGGGGGGGCTAGGGTACCACACTTCCCTAAATTGGCCTTGTCAGACCCTTCTCAGGTCCTTATTAGGGCTATACTTCAAGTCGGAGCCCACCCACCTGATGCAGCCTAGCCAAAAGAACGAGGAGGTAGTTCAGCCACGAAAGACTGGAGAAGATCAGGTCAAGACGGAAGGTGCAAAACGGAGGTTCAGCTCAATTCAGGCATTCCCTGAAGAATCAACTTTAAGACGAATCGAAGCAAGAAAGTCTTAGTGCCAAAAGTCCAACAATGCCTTCAGCTTTGTGCTGCCACGCCTCGCATGTGGAACCAAGGCTCGCAAGGGCCACATGGTTACCATGATTGTCCGCAACAAATCCGTGCGGCACCCAGGGCATGACCGAAAGCGTTTTGGTACAGAAGCCGAGAAGCGGGCTAGTCACCAGCTCTGACAGGGTTGCGTGGTTTCTAGGTTCAGGATGTGCTGTGCTTTGGCACTCGTCTCCGGAGAAGTGTGTTTGCAGGCCTAGGTCTGTGGCTCCAAGACAGTCTCAGCGCGGTCTGAAGTCTCCATTAGAGTTTGCTTCAGGCCTTTGAGGCACTGCTCTTGACGATGTCTGACTCGTTGAGGTGTGCAAGTTCATCAACCGCAAGCATATCAATCCGAGGCAGTCCCAGCACTCTGTGCATCGTGAACGGGGCATGAGGTTTGACGGACTCCAGTTGCTATCGCTCAGCCATATTCAGGTTTGTAGCCATCGTTTCCCCGGCCGCACAAAATTCGGAAAGCTTCTCAAGTGCAACCTTCTTCCGAAAGGCCATTGGAAAGCCCGTCACACCAAGCCAAGGATCCTTTCCGCCGGCCTGAACCTGAAATGTTATACTTGTACATGACCTCATTGTCTGGTATCGAACGGTGCATCAAGCAGCGCCTGTCCACGCTCCGCGCGGCGTATGACTCACTGACATGTCGGGTGCCAGGTATCTTTCGGAGTTCGATTTGCCAAAGAACGTGGGTGCAACGACGGATGCAGCTGAGCCTTGGCCGAGTTTAGACTTTTTGCGGGCCTTCTGCATCAGAACGGAGACCTGCAAAAGCTTCAAGCTGGATAAGCCAGTTCTTCGAGGCATCCTGCTTTCTCTCAGGAGGCCATGGAAGGCTGCGATGTGCTCATCCATGCTGTGCCAGTGCAATCTTCCCGCGAGGCAGCCGGGGTTTGAGAGCCCAGGAATTCTCGGGCATTGCTCTTACGCTTGCACCTAAGACCCAAGCAGCCCTGAGCCTTGCGTGACTGCGAGGCCTTAAGGAAGCTCAAGGCTCTAACGCGAAAACGTGGCCAGATCCGCAGAACATAGCCCTTAAGTTTCGGAACCCCCTGCAAGATACCCTCTCACTGCTTCTTCCATATCACAATCCCCACGATTACATGAAGCTTGACACTCAGCGAGAGCACTCGTTTTTTTGTTTATTGGCTGAGCTCCTGGTACGAGCGTGTTCGATGGCTGGTCGGCTTGAAGCTTCATAAGAGGACGGCGAGATGGTGTTGTGTCCAAGCTAAGCCTCGACGTGTCAAAGCATTAAGCCCTCAAAGCATTGCTTACGGCAGGCGCTGGGGGCCATCCGGGAGCTAGTTCCCCCGGACATTCCCGTGGTGGCAGTGTCCAAGGCTTTGCACTCAGTGCCGGAGGGGGGCCTGGGACTTTCGTGGTTGTTAGGTTAGGGTTTGCTACAGTGAAGCATCTTTGAGGTGCGGTTCTGGGGTCCGCTTTCATGCCAGAAGCGCCTTGCCTTGCAGCTTCCCGACCCAGATCAGTTTCCCTGCTCACAACACCCTAAACCCTAAACCCTCAACCCTAAAGCCACAGAAGCAACCTGTCGATCCGGTAAAGCCTTAAAGCCCGGGCCCTGCGGTGTAAGCCGCCTCCACTTTTCGAGAGGGCGTGGAGCTCGGGACCCGAAAGCTGATGTGCGACGTCATCCCCGAGGCAAAGCCACTGAAAGCTTTAGGGTGCACGGTTCTTGGAACCTTCTGGTTCTTGGTTGGGGGTCTTTTAGTTCAAGAGTGTCGGGGTTCAGGCTTCAAGGACTTCGTGAAGTTGAGCCAGTTTGGATTAGGATTCGTGCTTGTGGCCGGCCTTGTTCCATTGCATCACTGTAGAGCATTTCTATTTATGTCCTTCACCTGCTGATGTTAAGTTCTCATCCGATCTTTCTGCAGCCCTGTACCAGTAACCAATATGTGCGCAACATCTTACAGCAAGGAAAGACGTTGAAGTCCACGGTGTTTCCGGACACAGTGCTAGAGCCACGACGAAGACCTGAAACAAATCGCCGAAGCACCCGACTTCTAGCACAAGGATCGTAACACCTAAGTGTTCTGCAACAAGTGCCTCGGTGTAATCATAGACCCTCCAGCTTGCACCGAAGGTTCAATCGCAGGCACACAGTATAGTTAGATGTGCTCTGACTCGAAACTCCCCGCCCAGGCGCTTGGCCGCGACGAAGCTGAGGGACAGGCTCGATAACTCACTAGGGCGAAGTTTGTTTTGCTTTCACATAAAGTACTAATGAATATTGTTTGCGATTATCTACACTACTGTCGTCTCTTGCTATAGTGACTATGGACCTCATTGCCCTGTTCTGCAGATGCGGGCTGTCGCGGCTGTATGGGTTCTCTCGGCTTTAGATTTTCGGGTTTCCGGGTTTACACCCTCCACAGAGCTTCAAGAAGCTTCGGGCTGTGAGCTGGCGAGATCGGGTTCATAAGCTTTCGTCGTTTGTGATCGTTAGTTGCATGATCAGCAACGGTGCTCATTCAGGCCAGATGGTGGTCAACCCAACTTCCCTTCTGGAAGACTTTCTGTGTGAAGTGTTGCGAAGTTCTGATTTGGAATGATCCCCGATATTGAGAGTTTGGTCGCGTCGGGATGTGCAGCATGGCTGTTCCGACCATGAGGATATGAGACTCACACAGCTTAGCGACCTTCGTCTCTGGCTTGGACCCTTCTGGGCTTTGAGGCTCTGAGGTGAAGTGTGTTTGGCGTAAGGACGTACGACAAACATCCCCCGGACTAAGCCTCAAACAAAAACTTCCTCATCTTAGACGTCTGCGAGGTTGTGGTGGTTTCAGGGCCCTCCTTTGCGCAGGAGATTGCCTTGGGTGTGCCTTCAAGTCTTCAAGACAAGGGCCTTAGTTCGTCAGGTTCTTGTTTCGGGTGTCAGTAGATTTGGCAGGCTTACTCGGTTTGTTTCAGCTTGCCTGTCTGACGTCTGTTTCACGAGGCTCCTGCACTTGAGGGCCGTGTTTTTCTCCGGGGCGCCTTGGTTAAAGGTTTCAGACTCGCAGAGGGCCCAGAGAGCGCCGTCAGACTTCTCTGCGTTTCAGGGCCGGGTCTTCCAGCTGCGTTAGGGTGTTGAGAGTCTTGTTCGGCCCTGCCCGCTACTCAGGGCAGCATTGAATGCTTGAAGGACATTTTAGGGTTTCCCACCTCCAGGAGATTATGGACCGCCGGCCAACCTCTGTTGGGCACTTGTTGGATCGTGCAAATGGTCTTAGCAGGGACAGTCAGACATCTCTTGATGTTTTCTGGGCCCTTTTGGTGGTATTGACGTGTCAACAGATCAGTGCAAACCTTGTTCCCCACCATGAGCTGCCGGGCCTGCACAATCCAGCAGCACAAAGAAACCACGTCGTTCTGAGCCTCCGAAACTTGAGCTGAGGAAGTTGATGTGTTACTTGCTCATGATCCAACCCTGAAGACCTTCGGATGTGACAAGCAGAGGGTTGTTCTACTGCCGGATGACTACGCTGGGAGCGAAGAATTAGCATGAATGGTCGGAGTCAGTTCCGTTCGCATGTCTCGTCCGTGGACGGCGAGATATCGGCAAGCCAACGTCGCAGGATACTAATCCTTGACCGAGATATTCACATCGTGTTCTCCCGCAGTCCGAAGCATCTGTATGCTCGGAATCCAAGAACAAGACAGAGATTTCCCGATGTCCCCTTTAAGTTCCCATCTTTCAGGTGGTTGCCGCTTCCAGGAGCCCGGATGCCGCCGAGAAGGTTTCCAGGCATCCGGATGCTCGCGGGTTCTGTTTCTTTTTTTACCTTCGCCGCCGGGTTGTGTTTTTGTCGTCGACTGTCGCTAGGTCTCTGCCCAAACCCGGTAGTGTTTCGGGCTTTGGGCACCAGATTCTCTCCACAAGCCAGTGATGGAAAGTGGCTTTGGTTTGGTTTGGGGGTCCATAGGCTTTGTATAGTTGTGAAGTTGGGCTTCAGGGGGGGGTCTGGGAGCCGATACTTGCTGGGAGATAACCATCCCATATCCTCCCAAACCCTAGAAACCCCGCAACCCCGAAACTCGAAATCCGCTAGGGTAGTACTTTTTTGGAGAGGATCAACACATAAAACCACGAGGGAAGGCCCAAGAAAGCTGCGCCGACCTCCAGGTTGTTAACCTCCAAGTACTTCCGCGTGAGCATGACCGAGGATGTCCTTGGCGTTGAGGTAGGGCCGCCCCTTGGGGCCGCCAGCAGGGACCAGGTGGACTTAGGTTCCAAGGCTTCAGCTTTTGAGTGTGTGGGGGGTCCTGAGCATTCAAGTTCGAGCCTCCTGGTCGAGTCTGCATGGTGGTTGCTGGTGGCAGAGATGGTAGTTTTAGGAAACAACCGATCAAGGCAGCATCGATGACGTACAGCATCGACGGTACGCAAATCGAACTTGGCGGTAACTTTCCAGAGGCATATCGTCCTGAACAGTTCTGCAAACAAAAGGCTGAACCATGCTCTTGCTTGCATACCTGGGCCCAGACCATGTTTGGAAGCTGCAGTTTGAAGTTTCGATGCCCGTGGTTTTCTTTCAAGGCCGTCAGGGCGCAGAAGCTGTGGGTCCAAGGATGTGTCTTCAGGGGTTTAAGGGACGTGAAGGAACAAGCTAAGCAGCTTAATGACTGACGTCGTCAACAACTCGAACCATCAAAAAGGCAAGCTCAAGACCAACAGCAGAGCTAGGTTAGCTTCACAGGTCGCTGGGGCCCTAAAGAATGTCCTGGCGATCGCGGCGGGCATTTGCGAGGTGTGCTTGGCTTGGCGGCTTTGTTGTCTCTCCCAGGCAGACTCCCTAGCACCTCGAAGAGACGATGTAAGTAGAGGATGCCCTGGATGGTCTCCGAGAGAGAATGAGGTTTCAGGGCGGATGTTCAGCGGCGTTGGGCCAGGTTTCGGTCTTGAGACTTTCATGCTTACCCGACTGCGGTCTGGGCCAGGGACTCGGCCTCGGAACCAACGCCATGTCTGCTCTGGTGACGCAGGCCCGGCGAAGCCGAAGCCTCCCTGCTCGCCTCCGATTCCCGACACCCCAGCTGGGAACAGGGCAACGCGGAGATTCGGTGGTTGGCCACGGCTATGGGCTCGGAGCCCAGTTCGTTGTTGGAGCGGTGGGCTTTAGGCCTGTAGGCAAAGGTCCAATGGAGCTCAGAAGCAGACACAGTTCCGTGCTGCGGGGAGAGCTGACGATGAGAGCCTGATTCCTCCTTGTGCGGTGGAGCTGGAGCAGGGAAGCGTGAGGCGTAACACGACGGCCTTCGAAGAAGCCTCGAATCCCCAGCTCAGCGTAACCAATTCACCCCCAAACTCGAACAGACAGCGGACCAGTTCAGGAGCCCGGCCGGAGACGCTGGCTGGCCTTTCCGGGATGGGTCCAGAGCCCGGCCCGGAGTTGAGTTTCGAAAGGCTCTTGACCCCAACTGTATCATAGCTTGCAGAATCCTCAGGGCAGCCCCGATAAAATTCCACTCGATGCTTTTTTGGGCTTTTGTGGTCAACCCTGTGAAGAGCAAAGCTGAGGCTTAACTGAATCGTCAAGAACCACAGCATGTTCCCGATCATCCTCATCATATTATGCAGAGAACAACCCCACGCCACAAATCCAACAGACTCACGGTGGCTGCAGCGGGTCCCTTTCAATAATAGCAGCATCTCTCCAGGACTGGCCCCAAACGCCTGGGCCCCTCCCCAAAAAACACCGAAACTACTCGTTGCCCATCTCCGTCGAGGTAGGGAAAGCTTTTGAAATTGATTGTTCCGGCAGGGAAGCAAAAGCCTCTTTATCAGAGCACTTGCCACACCACGTGCATGGCCAGGGTCCGAAGAACCCTAGCCTTTATTTAACGTTTGCCCCACTTGAGGGGACATCCTCCTCACCTGCTTCGGGAGCCTATCCCGAAACCGCACCGTGGGGGTGCGGCTGGGCAAAGGCGAACGATTCGAGGTGCGCACGGCGTCTTGTTTTGTGAGACGAAGGTTTCATCATTTGGGGTTAAGGGCTTGAGCGGTCTTTGGGTTACAAGATGGAAGGTCTTGAAGAAATGGCTTTCAGAAGAGGTGATAGAAAATGGTGATGTAGGTTTCAGACAGGTCTTCCAGCCAATCGGAGTATGTGGGACTCTGCTCCAAGCCCACGCGCATCACTCAGTCGGAAACCTTTTGAATATGCTGGGAGGACTCTGGGTATGGGTCGGTAGCTTCATGTTCCCGTCGGAAAAGTTGAGGTCCAAAACCTCCGGATGAAGGGCTAGAAAAACTTCAAGCCTAGGGTGCAAACGGCCTACACCGAGCCGAGCACCTGAAGCCGTGTTTGCGCGAAACTGGCGAAATCCAACGAAGGCCTTTCGAAGTTGGCAAAAATTGAAAGTCCTACCTAGAGGACCCTTGAATCTGCAAAGCCGCGACGCCCGCGAGGATGTTCTCAACGAGAAGCGCGGGGTCGCCGAAGGCGTCTACACCGCCAGGCCAAACGAGAGTTGATGTTACAAATAGCTGCTGCAAGAACCGACGTCAGCAACAGAAGTGAGAGATATCCAGGGCACGAGGCAGACTGAAGAATGGACATGGGCTCTAGCGTTGGATTTAGGGCATGAGTTGTATCTTTGGGAGTCCAACATCAAGCGCGGCGGAGATTCTCACTTGTAGGCTCCAGGAATGGGGTTGCCTTTCGTCTTGCCTTAGCCTTGTCTTGTCTTGAGTTCAGAACTGTGTCAGGGTTCTAAGTTAAGTTGTGTGCGGAGGGTCTAGAGTTCAACTCTTCTCGATGCTTCTGCAACATCAGCGGAGATCAGGGCCATTTGGATTCTTGGTAGAGCTAGGTCTTTCCCACTTCATGCAGTAGCCTCATGTCGTGCAGGATTCAGAAACGATCTTCGATGCCCGTTTGCCGGCGCCTGCAACCAGCTAGCGAAACTAACTACAAACACCCACAGAACGAGCCCCATATCTTACGAACGACAGCCAGCTGAGTTTTCATTTCAGGTCGATGCCCCGACCCCCACAAAGCCTAGGCCCTATATACTGCAAAACCTCCGGTCTTCAGAACCCTCAAGCGACTACAGGTTGGTGGTTGAACTGGCGGACGACTACAAGGCCGCGGCGCCAGTGTCCCTCTTCGTTCTGTTTCTTCTGGCAGAAGAGTTTTGGCATGCGAAGGATTGCAGGGAGGCAGCCAACAAACACTTTCAGCCCAAAAAGTCTGAAGCTTGCGCATGAGTTTTTTGCAATCAGCATGACGGACTCCTTCGCTGCTGGCCTCGTTGTGGACCTACCGCGCAGACCGGATGAAGCCTGCCACTGCTGGCCGCAGCGATTTCGGGCTCAACAGTCAGAAACCTCCGAAGTCGCCCCCCCTGGCCTCCACATCGCAGTCGTCAACATGCCGTTGGACTCAATCGACGAGTCGAAGGTCGCACAATGGGGTATTCTTACCAAGTAACGGAAAGTAAACCCAATCTACGCGCCTTTGCAGGGAGAGACTCGCGGGCCAAATCTGAGAATAACAGCACCGGGCATTCAACGCCACAGCTGGGAGCACGCTCCTGTGGGGACGTTGTGCGCGCTTGTTTCTGTGGGAGGTGACAGTCTACGGCGCCTGCTTCTGTGCCTCGGTGTGAAAGCCTCGAGTCCTTCGGTGACTGACTTGACTATAATCTCCTAGCTGTCGTGTGCTGCAAGACTCCTCGCTTGCGAGACCTTGTGTAATCATGAGCTGCACTTATTATCACTTTGTCCGAGAACAGCGCCAGTAGATGCCAAGGCTGTTTCAACGGACTCAACTTGGAGAATATCGAGATCGGATGTGCTGCCAAGGACCGGCTGGATTGCTTCATCCAGCGCGTTACCTCCTGCCCTCGCCACGAACCTGTTTAAACGAGTTGGCAAGGGACGAAGCTGTTTTAGACGGATTCGCCAGTGGAGACACCAGGAGACACTCCTTTGCCTGGAGTGGGACTTCTGCCTCAAGACCAACACCGAGAAGCACCTTGGTCTTGACTAATGTGCTTTGAAGAATGTGTGCGGATTTGCAGCTTCTAGACTCCGAGAGAGTATGGAAACCTATTCCAAGGCTTCGTTGCTTCTGCCTGGACATCCGCATCGTGCCTGTGACCGTTTGCATCAAGCAGCACCTTTGGCCAAAAAGCAGGCAGCATTTGGCCACTGGTGGAGCTGGTGTAAGCAGTGCAAGCTCCAACATCCACGGAACCGCTATACTAAGCAGATTTCCGTGAACCTTTGCGAAGTACTGGTACCACGGTACCCCCTATGCTAAGGCAGGGCCAAATGTGCTGCCTCGTTTCCGCAGCGGCGATTCCGCCCGATGCGGAGGCCTGTTTGGCCTTATGGGCCATATGAGCCATATGGGTCATGCCATGAAATTGAAACAAACATAGAAGGCTTGAGCAAAAAGCAGACTTCGACTCTTTTCTTGGGCCCCGAGTGTGCAGAGCTTCCCGGAGGTGCCCATGATGCTTTCGGTCTGCTTCCTGGTCTGCTTCCCCAAGTTTGGCTTCTTCAAGAAGATCTCGGAGGTGAAGGGGTGATGCCTGTTTCAAGCACGTCCTGAGCTGAGTGGCTTGCTCCGCCGCCCGGGATAGTGTTCGTTCACTCGAATGATTCGAGACTCAGTCGGCAAGAGTGCCAGTGCCCGGGCCCGCACCCGTGTTATGATGCACGCATCATCAGAACCTGCCTGGTTCAGCTGTGTGGATTTGCCGGAACCCAGGGGCTAGCACACTTCCAGAGAGCCGACTTGCCTGCTGTTTTGCGTTTGAAGACGTAGGACCCAAGCTTCGTCAAGTTTGCGTTGATGTCTGCCAACTTTGCGGCATCTTCCAGATGGGAGCGGGTCTCGACTGTTGCCGACGAGGATAAACAGAAAAAAAAAGGCTCGCGCTGAAGCCTTGAGTTGGATCAGGTTCCTCGACCTTCTGTCTTCATGTGTAGCGGCCTGTCCGCGGGCGACATGTCGAAGTGTTAGCGAGGCGCAAGCCGCAGTGGAGGAATCTTCAGGGCTTCTCATGCCGGGTTCAGCCAATACTCAATTTCTTCCTTGGTTGTCTAGAGTCGCCAGCTGACCACTTCCTGAAGATCCTTTCTTGGCCTGTCCATCAGGTCCTCATTCCTGTTCTGACGTCCGTTGCCCGCATCCTCAGCCGCGAGGTGTCTCCGCGACAGGCCTTGCGTGTCGGGCTTATGGTTTTAAGGATTTAGGATCATGTCTTCCGGGCCCGCTGTAGGTTCAAGGTCCAGTCTAGGGTGTACGGTTCAGGTGTTCAGGGATCATGATTGAACGAGTTGTGGTTTAGGCACAGGGTAGAGGCTTTCAGGTTCAGGTTTGAGGTTTGAACGACTTAACAATCGTCGCTATCTCGAGCAGCTGTAGAATTCTGCAGCAGCGTGCAAGAAGCCAGGAAGTTTCACTCCACTCATGACGGCATCACCGACACTTCCCCACTCGAGAGCTACGTGTGATTGCTTTCAAACCTTGAGCTTGAGAGCTGACTACTTGGGGGCGAGTTTTCGGAAGAAACGCCGTAGTTGCTGCTTGCTCCTGCTGCTTTTGCTTGAGTTGGAAAAGCCTTCGAGCAGGCAGTCTTCGAGGTCTTGGCGCTTCCTCCATGGACTGAGAGCGCATAGGTGAGTGCTGCCGAGGGGCTATAGTTCAGAATCTTCGGAATTCACATGCGGGTTTGAGGATTGAATTTCGGCGGGAGGGTGAAGAGATCCCACCAAAGGTTGATGTATAGAAGTTTCTCAAACTCAAGTCGATGGCGTTTTCGGCCAATCTCAAACTTTACTACTGACCTATTTTCGGAAACCCCCAAATCTACAATCAAACCACGCCGGACTTTTCTTGTCGTGGCTGTGGGTTTCAATTTCTGCAGCATAATTCAAGATTGCACGCAGTTCGCATCTTTTCTCCTTGTGTGGTGCCTCTAAAACCGCGGGCACGCCTGAGTCCGCCAATGTGCCCTGAGACAGTGGGGCGATGGACTGAATTTGTAAGCCTCGGCTTCGGGGCCTCACCCTTATTTTCCAACCGAGGCCCCCGCACCGCGACCGGGCGATCAGTAGGCTGGTTGCGTTCACTAGGCATCACAAGGCCTTCGAACTATCGATTCCGAACGTTTTCCCATGCACGCCGTTGCAACAAAGCTGGCAGAGGTTGAGCGATGCCACTTCCCTTCTCTAATGTTTGCAGGTGACCGGACTGACTTCTGGTTTGGTTTCCTACTGACAGATGCTGATCTCCCCCTCTACCCAACGGCCTGACCTTCGAGAACCCAACGATGCTCGCGGGCCGCAATTGCGGCTGAGCGCCCCTAAGCTCAAAGCCTTATCACATTTTCTTGGGACTTGTGTTGGGCAGCTGAGGGGATGATGTCGCCAGTGGAAGCATTTGTCGCGATGCCCGCTTTCGAAGTGGCACCTGAGCCACGGACTAACGATGACGAGACCTAATCCTGTAACTGCCGTTTAACACCACATCTTGAAGCGATCCTCCAGCAGTGCAAGGCAGCCGCAGGCAAAGTGTAGTTCACGTTCGCGAAGCCCTGCCGCCCGAGTAGTTTCGAAGTTCTTCGCTCAAGCAGCTCCCGGCGGGGTTCTCTAACGGCAGAACCCACGACCAGAGTCCAAGGTCCTGAAGCACTCACGCCATGAGCGCCATGGAGAAACTCCGAGCGGCACTTTTCCTAAGCCCAAGATCCCAAAGCCGAAGAGACGGTTCCAAGCAAGAAGCCTCTCCTACTTGGGACTGGCCATGACGGACCTGGAGGTTGGCAGTAGTAGTCGTCATCGTAGTGGTGGTGATGGTAGTAGAAGTCGTAGTGGCTGTGGTGGTGGTAGTAGTAGTAGTAGTAGCAGTTGTTGTTGTCGTAGTAGTTGTCGTAGTCGCAGTCGTAGTCGCGCTGGTAGTCGTAGCAATAGTGGTGGTCGTGTAGCAGCCGCAGCAACGGGAACGGTGTACTCTCTTATCTACAACGCTCGTGCTTGTGTCGAGATTCCGTGAAAGGCTGCGGGGACGCTGCTGCGCAGCCTGCACCTGGCGACCCCCTGAGCTCTGAGCTTGAAGAGCTAAGATTTCGGAGGGGCTCGTTGTCGGGACTCGTGTTTCAGGAAGCTCTGATATGCTGTTTTTTCGGGGGTGTTGGGCAACCTCTACTGGTATCCTTGCTTAGAGCGTCACCCGCTCTACCAACTCAAGACCCTTGACAAGCTACCCACCACCTTTGATGCTCCCGGTCATGATTGTCTCGCACGGTCCTGAAAATATATCCTTCTGCACACAAGCTCGGGGTGTAGGTCCCTTGATACCTAAATGCTACCTCAAGGCCGGAGCTCAAACTCCGAACTCAAGAATCAAGCACCGCCTTGACTGAGGAGCGCCTACGGAGCGGCGGCGTGCAGGGGAGGGTCTTCCAGAATTTTGGAATTGCCGGTGCGCATGGGCTTTGGAAGCCCTACCACCCTGGACTCCCCCTAAAGTCCACAACGCTCGGGTTCGAGATCTCGGTCCGGAGACTCGAAGGCCTGAGGTTTTTGATGTTTCGGGCGATGGCTCCGCACGTTGTTTGTTGTAGTGTTGTAGCGATCAATGCACCACAGGAGACTCGGAGGGAAAAGCCCGCAGCCGCCGCCGGCTGAGGCGCTTCTGTGTTCAGAGTTTGGGTGGTTAGTATTGGTAGCGTTATACAGAGGTGGTGCGCAAGATTCCGAAGGCCCTGCTGTAAGGACATCGGCCTATGTCTTGCGACAATGGTCGACTCGGTCTTCCTTTTTCGTGCTAAGTGCATGCAACGCTCTGTTGGGAAACATGCATTCCTTCTAAGATCCTACAGCTTCTGACCTGTCCGTCCAGAAGGCAAGGCACAAGTATCAAGCTCTCTTGTAGCAGCTCTTCACGCATGAACTATGCTCAGATCCAGATCATTTCGCTGAGCGGAGAACGAATTGCACGGTTCCGAGCCGACCCGACGTTGACAGTACAAGCTATCTATCGGGATCTACAGCGTCGTCTGGGGCTTCAAATTTATCGCCAAGCCCTCCTCTACTGCAACGAGGTGTTGGACTCCGGGGTCTATCTTTCAGAGCTTGGAAATGGCAGCGAAATTGAGCTGACCCTGATAGTGCAGAATGTGTCTTTGGTGGTGACGTCCTCCTCGGACTACACTGCCAAGGTTTGGAACTGGTTCAATGGTGAATGTGTGCAGACGCTCACAGGCCACGCCAGTGATGTCCACAAAGTGGGATTCTCACCGGACGGGACCTGGGTTGTGACGGCTTCTTTCGACTCGACAGCACGAATCTGGAAGTTGTCCAACGGAGAGTGTACACAGATCTTAAGGGGCCACACGAGTGACCTGAACTCCATCGTCTTCTCCCCGGACAGTCGCACGCTGGTCACGGCCTCCGATGACCACACTGCAAAGCTTTGGGACGTGGCCCATGGTGACTGCATGAAGGTTTTGGCCGGCCATTCAGCTGTCGTCAACTCAGCCCTTTTCTCATGGGACGGTTCCTTGGTTGTTACCGGCTCCTTCGATGGAGATGCCCGCATCTGGAGTGCAGTCGACGGTGAGTGTCTTCGGATCTTATCCAGCAAGGGCATGCCGCTTGAGTTTGCGGTGTTCTCTCCGGATGCAGCCTTTGTGGTCACTGTTGCTAGGGATGGACTGGTACGGTCATGGTGCTCAGCAGAGGGCGAGTGCGCACAGACGCTTGTGGATGAGGGACACTTAGTGAACTGTGCCGCATACTCTCCTGACGCTTGGGTGCTCCAGAGAACTGTTTTGCTTTTCCGAGGCTTGCATGAGACCCGTACTCAGCCCCGTTTGCTGGTTTCATATTCACAGTTGTGAGCTCTTGAAAGTATGACATGCCCTAGCCCCAGAAGTTCTCAGCCCCAATCTCGGTGGCAAGGATGGCGCCTTTGTCCTCGCAGCATTTCTGGACTGCGCAGCACGGCTGTGGAGTCTACATCGTGGCGAACGAATCCACATTTTGCGCGGCCACAAGAACCTGTGCCTTGGTTTCCTAGGTCCTAGGTTTAAGAGGTTAGCTGTGAGGGTGTTCAGTATTTCGGGTGCCTGAGCATTCGACTGGCTGATGAAGTCTAAGGATCCGGTGTGCTTCTTTCTCTGCCGACGCTGCACTTGTTGTTACAGGTTCCTTCGACGGTGTGGCGAAGATCTGGAGTGTCATGCGCGGGGAGTGCCTTCAATCGCTTTCGGGTCATGAAGGCCTCATCACCAGCGTGGCATTTTCAGAGGACTGTGCGCAGGTGCTGACATCATCGCAGGACTGTGCTGCCAGGGTCTGGAACGTCACAGACGGGAAATGCATACAAGTATTGAAGGGTCACCAAGCATGTGTTCATTCTGCGGTCTTCTCTGCGGGCTGAGCCGACCGGGCCCGCCCCAGGCCCGGGCTGAAAACGGCGTGTGCTTTTCTGTCGACAGGCTGGAGTTTCAAGCCAGCGGTGTAATGCATGACCTGCAGTGTTTTCGTCGCTGCGAAAAAAAAGTCCACTTTACGCTGCGCAAGCTTGCGCCCTGTCTTCTGCCCTGGAGCTTCTGCCCCGGTCCAGGGTGTTTCAGACGGCCTGGAGCAATTTATTGTCTTTCCATCCTTGGGGTGAGGTGCGGAGTTCAGGCACCGTAAGCCTTAGCTCAAAACTTCGAGACCGGAACGCTCGCGCTTCGTATGGCACCGCTAGACCCGTCTTGTGCTTCGCCGAAACCCAAGGCAGGGGGCACACTCAGCTTAAATCCAGTAGTTGTTGGAGCGGTCGGAAAACCCCTGGCCTCCTCAGGCTTCCGAGGAAGAGCTGGCCAAAGACAGCGGCCTTCCCAAGCAGCGCTTCTCCCGTCAGGAGGCCGCTCTTTCTTTCGGTTTCCTTTAAGGCCCTGCAGAGCTTTCGGTGTCTGCCTAAGGAAGCTGGAGTTGTACGGTTGAGCGTGGCATTTAGTCTCGCGGCGAAACATCACTGAAGCCTCCCTGAGAACACAGGTCGTGTTCTGTTCACATCCTGCCCATGCTCGATGCCTGCAGTGTGCCGGCTCGTGGCTTACCAAGCGGGATGCTGAACCACCGACTCACTCTTCCGGGAACAGACGAAGTCCCGGCGCCAGCCTAGGCCGGACATGCCCGGAAGTGCCGCAGACGGCCTACGCAGCTGCCTCAGAGCTTCCCCCGAAGCACCCCGAAGCGCACAGAAGGAGTATGGGACCGACGCCAACGGCCACTATGATATTTCTTATGTGCGGGATGTTGCTGATGCCGTTGGCGATCGTGACCAAGAGCGTGAGGACGACGACGAGCACCACGATGACGATGATTGCTGATTGTCATGATGGTGATGGTAATGACGACGATGATAATGATGGTGATGATGATCACGATGATGGTGGTGATGTTGGTGATGATTCTGATGTTGATGGTGACGAGCATGAAGATGTAACCACATTGTGACTGTAATTATGATGATATTCATGAATATGGCCATGGCGTTGACTGTGACCACGCTTACGATTAGGAGCATGATCATGCTATAGATCATGTGGATAGTAGTGGTGATGGTGGTGATGGACATGGTGGTGATGGCAATGGTGGCGAGAGCCAGCATCTGCCAAGGAACCACCCGAACCATCGTCGTCGTCGCCTTCCGTCGTGAGTGTAGTTGTAGTATTAGTAATAGTAGTCGTCGTCGTTGTAGTAGTCGTAGTCGTAGTCGTGGTCAGATAGCACTGAAACCATCCACAACAGCAGGTGCTCTTCCACAATGCTTACTCGGCCGGGTAGCCCAGCATTGAAGAGAAGCAGCGTGATTTAGTTCAGTTCCGTCCATGATACTGGAACTAGGCGTGAGCAAAGGGCCCTTCACCAACGGTCAGCAGGCTTTCGTGAACTTGAGCTGTCTGTCAAGCTCAGCACTGGCAAAGGTGCACAGATCGTAGCAACAATGAGATCGAATTCCAAGCTCCCAGCCTTTCAGAATACTTGGCGCTGCGGTTGACGGCGGCATCTTCGCCGGCAGTTGATGCACATGCAGCAAGTCACTAGCTCCAGCCAACGTCCTCAAAACATGTCCACTTCCAATCAGAGTCCGGCGAGAGAAGCATCTAAACCCTGAGCCCTAAACCCTAAACCCCTAAACCCCTACACCCTAAACCCTAAACGCCTAAACCCCTACACCCTATACCCTATGGCCCAGTCCCCCCCAACCCCAGGCTGTGGCGCATTTCAAGGCGCCGAGCCAGGCCGAAGCGTCGGCACTTCCTGCACCTGGGCCTGAGCTGAAGACGTCTGGGGGCCTTTGCTTCGAGACTTCTCATCAGGGTCCTCGGATTCGGGCTCAGGCTACTTGTGCCTTCTTTCTGTGTGGGTTCTGAAAGTTGATCTCACAAATCTGAGGTGCCACGGCGGAGTCTGGCTGCCGGTGAGGCCGCAAGGGAGAGAAGCCTGAGATTCGCTGAGAGCATCAGCTTGAGTCGAGGGGGTTCTTCTGGGCCCTTCTCGAGGGCTATGCGCGCCTTTGAGAAACCCGAATCATCGATTGTTTGGCCTTGTTGCAGATCCTGTTCGCCTCCTTTGCGGCCCTGGTTCATGACCTGGGGAGAGGTGTGGGACTCGGTTCAGATCTTTGGATTGCTGGTCGTCTTGGTAGACAGACCATGAGTGCCGTTGGTAGCTAGAACGTTGCGGGTGACAACTGCAGGAGGCAAACTTGCCATTGTTCGTCTGGACGCCTCAATCTGAAAGCCTCAGCCTTGCTTGCTGGACCGCTGGACCTCAGCCTCAGACTTTAAGCACTTGGCATCCTGAAGGAAAGCGCTTCCTCGACCTGGGCTCCGGCACGGGGCGCGCAGTGGTCGCATGGGGGCTGCTGGTGCCGCTTCCTGAGGTGTTCTGCTTGAAGCATTCTTGTTTAGACTTCCTTCTCCCAAGCTAATTCAATCCCATTCTGCTATGCTTTGGTGCTCGTCGGGGCTGCGGAGCTGTCAATCTGCCATCCATTGAGGCCGGATGGTACGGCTGTTGGCATCGAGATTCGACCAGAGTTGCACCGTGAAGCCGTCCAGGCAGGAGAACTTCGATGGCATTGGAGACATCCAGCAATGAGATGGGTTTCAGTGGAAAGCCGGCCAAATGATACTTCAAGATCTGAGCGATGCCGTGTAGGACAATGAGACATCCGGGTCTAGTGGACAGATGCAGCCTGAAGCTCTGAGAACCCAAAGAGAGCCAACCCCAAGACGATCGTCACAGCCGCAGAGTTCTCCAGCGAGGCCTCAGAAGCCTTGGCCCAAGACACAAGCAATCTGTTTTGGGTTTCTGAATGGACTTGGTTGTGGAAAGAGCGGCAAAGAGCTCCTTTGCCTTGGAGCAGGTCCGAGAAGCTTTGCCACAGGACGTGCGGAGGCCCGATTCTTGCTTGCTTGGTCCTCCGGATCTACTGCATGGCTGTAGTCTGGTGGTTCCGGTATCTGCAGCTGAGGCACCATGCTGTTTTTCATCTCAGATTCGCTGGAGCTTCAGTCTCCGGATGGTTGGGGTTTACTCGTATCATGTTTGGAGGGTCCCGAGGCGAAGGCCTACTTGCTGCTGCTGCTGTTGCTACCACCCCGACGACAGAGCCAATGACAACTCCTACTGCGGTTGCTTGGGGGTTTCGGTCGTGGCCTTCGGGCCTTTGGTGGGAGGTGTTCAGGTTGTGGCAGTGTAGGCAGCTTCGACTCGTGAGATATATCGACAGGCTTTGTGTTTTCAGTACCGAGTAAGCCAGGCGGCTCCACCTGCACTGTGGCGACCTCTTTGAGTTCGAAGAGCTGACAGGCCTGCAAGCAATGAGGATCTTCGGGATAATTGTTAATTACTGTAACGCCAGCAGGCTGAGCCCGTGCTACCAGCACATGATTCAAAATATCCCGCAACACTCAGTAAGCTTCCGCAAAGATCCTACATTTCTTCTTGCAGCCTGGAACGAGACTTCTGGGCCCACTCTCTTGCAAACCAGCGAAGATGCCGATGTGATCCTCGTGAACAGCACCGGCTACGATGACAACCTGATGGCCGCAATCAGCAGGCTCGTGTTCATGTACGGGACCGGCTGCAATAGGATGACGGCGCCTGTGGGTTTGCGCGAGCATCTTCGGGTTCAGGAGGTCTGGGCAGTGAGGATGGGTTTCATCATCATATGAACTTTCAGCAGCTGCCTGATCAAGGCACGAAGTCTGCAACAGCGGATGTAGGGGCGAGGACTTCTGATAGCCTGTACACCGCGAGCATTTGGCCCGAGATGCATTAAGAGACGGGCAAGCCGCCCGCGGAATGCAGGCATCGGCTGCCTAGAGAGTGGGACGGTGTTCCGCTTTCGACTTGAGGGCTCAGATGATTCTTAGTGTGATTGAGTTCTATGCCCGCTCCACGCAAGAGAAGATTTTGCAACATGATTTCGGCACAATTCCGGAAGTTTCCGTCGCTGATTAGGCTGCTGGGGTTCGGGATCCTGCAGTACCACACCCCACCCGAAATGTTCTTTTCTCGCCTTGCCGACATGCAGTAGGCCCGACACTTGCAAGTTCATGAGCCTCTTGAGCCTGAGTTTTTTTGTGATTGACTTACTTGTCATCCCCACCATCCAGCATTGTTGAGATTGGTTTTGGCTCGACACGGCTGGCTTGATTAGATGGTCCAAAGTATGCTGGTCTCAGCAGGGTTTGCTTCAAACAGAAGCATCATGCACATCATGGTTGTTGCGTTGGAGCCGGTGCTGCTGCTCCCTCTCTAGATGCAAACGCACACCACGATGCTGCGTCGGTGTTGAAGCCGGGCTTGAAACGGAAAGGCCATGATGCTGATGATGCTGCGTGTCGGCTTGCCATGCAGCGCCACGGTTCAAAGTTGGATTGAAACGGAAAAGCCATGATGCTGATGATGCCGCACCTCGATTTGCAGCCAACTCCACCATTTCGCTGTTGAAGGCGGAAAGGCAATAATACTGACGAGGCATGTGCCCGCCTGCCAAGGCACGCTCCAAGATATCCTTGCTAAAGGCTGTTGTGAAACGCATGATGCTGAGAAGAGAGGCCATGATGCTTCTGATGCTGTGTGTGGTTCTTGGCACGCACCCTCCGATTTCGATTTCGGTGATTGAAACGGAAAAAGCCATGACGTGTGTCGCCTTGCCACACACTTCAGGCTGTCTTGAAACGGAGAGCGGTCATGCCGATCCTGTATTTCGATGTTGAGCACTAATATAGGACGGAGAAGCCACGATGTTCAGATGCAGCGGGCGTGCCGCACACTCCACGATTTCGATGTTGAAGGCTGTTTGCAAGTGGAAGAGCCACGCTGCTAATGATGTCGGCATTCAAGGCAGGTTTGAAAAGGAGACACCGTCATGCTATGTGTATATAAGGCTGGGCCCGGGGTCAGTGCTGGTCCTCACACCATGTCGCGGTTGGAGCCTGGGTTGAGAAGCATTGTAGATGATGGTGTGTGCCGTCTTGTCACGCCCTCCCTCCAGTTGGTTGGCGTTAAACGCTTTGTTGCGCTGGTCCACGAAAGGAACGATGCTGTACATGATCCTGCGTCATTGTGTCATCCATCCTCGAAGTCGAAGGAGCTCTCAGCCGTAAGCCAACGGGCACGAAAACTAGATTAGATTGCCATTGCAGGCTTCCCTTCAGCAATGCACAAGTACCGGTTACTCTCCAAGAAGGGTGAGGCCGCGAAGAGTGGTTGTTCGCTTCGGGGTTGTGGCCAGGCCAGCTTTGATTCTCTGGTGTGGAGGAGGTTATGGGTTGCAGTTTGCGATTGCTGGGTTGGTAGCCATGGACGGTACGATGCACCTGACTTACAGCACTCGACATGAACATGTGCAAGACTGCCGCTGCAGGCCAATGCCTACAATCACCCCTAAGGAGGCAGCAAATGTATCCTGTACTAGCATGGCACTCTCTCGCCATTTACCTGGCTACTTGCCCTTGTCACCCCATGGCGCATCGCGAGGAGCATTACGCCGCTAAGTTCAACTCCTGAACCCCATGAATCCATGCCCTTCCACCGGCGAGGGCACCTTCTCAGAAGTGCTGAAGGCTCAGTCTATTAAGCTCCTCGGCCGGGTCAGAAGTGGTTTGGAAGAGCTCAGTTCGTGGTGCGCGACAAGCTTCCTGTATTGTACACGCTTGTGCTTATAGTATCTTGTAGTATCTTGTAGTGTCTTGTATTATGGTAGTATCTGTAGCAGGAGCAATGCAAGGCTCCTCAATTGGATTTGACCGCCTCAGACTCAAAGTGCAACAACGATAGCCCTCTTCAGAGCTGTTCTGGTGATGTTGTGTTGCCGGTGGTGGTGGCCATCGTCAGCTTTCATCATACACGCTTGTCAATGTCCTTCATCCTTTCTCGAGGCCCTTTGCCGTCGATCCGTCAACATGCCCTACTCATCTTTCTGTGCTGCTACTGCTTCGACTGCTCGACATCTTATCTGGAGCATCTTTCGTTCGCACTGAAACTATCAGTGAGTTGATTACGTTCGTGCGTCGGCATGGTCGGGGCAATTCGAGCTAGAAAGTTCTGCTTGATGTATTAAGGCTGCTTTCCCTAGCTATGCACGGGGTGTCTCCGAGCAACGCGCTGCTACTAGGGGAGGCACTGTATTTGGTCCGGGTTCCTGTGTGCCGATCTCATGCTCGTCGATCCCGAGATCTTAAGCAGTGGAAGGTCTGGGAAGCATGTGGCCATCAAGTGTATGAAGAACACCTTCGACAGCATTGACCAAGTCAACAACCTCAGAGAGATTCAGGCCCGCGGCCAGAAGTCCGGAAGCCATTTATTTACTAGTAACTAGTACCTGGTTCGAAAGCGGCTTGGGGGGTTCGGGCGCTGTGCTGTGATTCCTCCTCTGAGACGCAGCGTTTTGTCAAACTGTTGCGCAGGCTCTGCGAAGGCTCGCGGGCCATGCGAACATCATTAAGTTGCATGCCGCTTGCTCAGTGGGTTTGAGGTTGCAGGTTTCGAGCTTTGCGCCTTGTCTTCCGCTTGCGTGCTGTCATGGGCCATGGGGGACGACGGCTGGCCACCAGGTTTTGATGGTTGCCCACTTTGGGATTTTTTTTGCAGGCTTTGTTCGTAGTCAGCCGAGAAAGGAACAGTGGCAGCTTGAATTGAGAGCTTGCAGAACAGGCTCTTTAGGTCGATATTCGTTTGGGGCCAACCTTATTACCGGAAAAGAATGCGAACAACAATGTGCCAAAGTGGACTCTGGACACACACCTTGCAGCTTTAGACCCTACACGTCGAAGCCAGGTTTCGCTTTCTGTCTGAGGAAATACTCTACGACGAGCCCACAGGACGGTTGGCCTTGGTCTTTGAGTTGATGGACATGCGACTTGGCCGGATTGTACTCCGGGGAAAAGTTCCACAAGTTTGTCTGGACTATCGTAGGATCCCTTCGCGGAAGGGACCCTGGACGCGACACGACGCCCTACCCTGCCTTTAAGTTTTGAGTAGCGTAACGACCAAAACAATTTCAGCAAAGCCAGTGCAACAGTTCTGCGTGATACCGCACTGTGAGGAAGACCTTTAGCCTTTAGTCTTGAGATCGTTTTTGTGAAAGGCACGCTGCATTCAATCTTGCTTTCGAAGTAAGAGTAGAGGCTTGTCAATATGTCAAAAACTCTTCTGGTGTAGCAACGTAGCACTCTCACTGGGGATCTCCTGCCAGGAATGTGTACGAGGCGATCAAGGGTCGAAGGCACTACCTGCCAGACACGAAGACGAAGCACTACATGTTCGATGCTTGGGTCTCTATTAGCGCTTTTGAGTAAGGACTTCGTTGGCAGCGCAAGACAGGCGAACCAATGGTCAAGAGGCAGAACGTTTGTGCTGGAAGTAAGAGTGCATATGCATATGACGACTTTCGCGACACTCCAACCACGGAGAATCCCATCCGTACAGACCAACTCGCTTGTCCGTGGCCCTGCCCATCAAACGATCGTGGTGTTTCCCATCTACAATCTGGCGCGTACTGAGCCTTGAATTAGCCGAGGAGATCTTGAAAGGCTTGGATCACATGCACAGAAACGGCATCTTCCACCGCGATGTAAAGTGCCTTTGGCAGGAATTTCTGCACGACGGAGAGGGGACGGAGTGACACCGGAAAGCAGTACACAGGGAGAAGAGTGTGGTACCATGTTGTTTTCTCCTTGAGTTGCTTCTTCCTTCGGCCACGGCGGCCTTCGTCTAGGCCTGAGAATCTGCTCCTGCTGGATGATGAGGCAGGGCCCACCAGACAAAAGGACTGTTTGGGGCTGGGGTGATGGCTGATAGAGCAGAAGCGTTCTTTCCGTGGGTCTCGTGCCCAGTCGACTAGTCATGAGTTCGTGTGATGTGGACAAAAGCCAAGTTCGAAATTCGGTTTGAGTGAGATAGATTTTGACGCGTGCTAGCTTACTTTACTGCAACGACAGGTGTCACCAGTTGTCATAGTAAGCCATACTGGTAGTAGCTTCGGGTCACCTTGACTGCACCTCAAGGGAGGAGAGTCAGCCGAACGACTAGTGAGCAAATCAAAAGAGAACTGGCCGTTTGACTGGGTCTTTACATCACCAAGAATAAAGTTTCGTCGCACTTGGCTAGACCATCTTGCGGAGGACGCGGAGTACTTGGAAGTGCATTTTACGTGGCCTGGCTAGCGGAGGAATTAATCCACCGGAATAAAATTATACTACTATAATGTTCCGGACGGAGGAC